CACTTGGTACCTGGAAGTAGGGGTTGAGTAAATTAAATTGTATTTGGTCATGATAAGAACAAGACTCATATGGCCATTTGTAGAGATCGCTCTGAAACAATAATATTAAAATGTGACAGTGAAACAACCACTCTGATAATATTAGAATTAAATTAGTACAATTTCCTATGATAGCAATTTGGCAAAATGCATTGAAAACTTAAACCCTTTGGCCCAGTAATTCTATCTCTTGGAGATATGAAATGAATTTCAGGGTTTTTTTATGTTGATAAGGAATATAAAACTTGTCTACACTTCCAACAATAGAGACATAGTTAAGCCGATAATGATCTATTGACTGGATGCAACATTAAGTCGTTATTAAAATTATATTTACAAAGTATACATTAGGTATAGAAACACAAAAGTGTTATTTAAGAAGAAAACAGTGTACCAAACTATACATATAATAGGACTATATAAATAAAATTTCCCAGATTTTTATAATAAACCTGAATGTTTTTTATAATGAAAACTCAGTATGTTTGTTTATTTTCAAACTATATATTACAAACTAGTTTTCCCCTTTTTTATAATATTGGAAGGAATATGTAAAGTAGCAAGATCATTTGCTTTCTAAGCAGACAGAGTTGGGTTAACATTCCAGGTCCTGGCTTGGTAGATATTATGTGACCTTGGGCAAGTAAATTAAAAGCTCTAATTTTAGTCTCCTTATTTATATATTGTATTGTTATGAAGACAAGATATAAATATACATATGTAAAGTGTGATGTAATGTAAAAAATGGTAGCTATTTGGGTTAAAAATTCAGAAACTGCTATGTGTGTATGTGTGTGTGTGCAGGAATTGAACAAATGAAGAAATGAATGGTGAATGATGGGAGGCAGGTTTCTTACTGTTGAAGAGGGAAGTTACAGATAAACAGGGAGGGGGCATGGGAAGCTAGAAAGAACTGGATCAGAGACAGAATCATCAGTATGAAATCTTGTTTAACTTAAGATAGATAAATATGGATAGATACAGAAATAACTATAGCTATGTATAACCCGTACATTTATTTATTTTTCTAGTTTTGTCTGCTGAGAGGGCATAGAAGCAGTCACACCCCAGGAGCAACACACATACTCAGAACATAGATCTTGTTTATTATACTATATTTTTCTAATAAAAAGGAGTCAGGGCTCTGTGGAGGGATGGCTGATTCCAGAGTCAGGATAGGGAAGATAGAAAATGAGCCTGGACACAGTGACTTCCATCTCATCAAAGAAAGAATTAAACCCATGTGGGAGGATGATGCAAATAAAAATGGTGGCAAGTGGATTATTCGGCTGTGCAAAGGCTTGGCATCCTGTTGCTGGGAGAACCTTATCCTGGCCATGTCGGGGGAAGAGTTTCTGGTTGGGGAGATCTGTGGAGCTGTGGCCTCTGTCTGGTTTCAGGAGGACATTATTTCAATATAGAGTAAGACTGCCAGTGACCACGCAACCACAGCCCAAATCCGAGATACACTTTGGCAAGTGCTTAACCTACCTCCCAACACCATTATGCAGTACAAAAACCCACACCGACAGCATCTAAATGCCAGGCAGGCTGAGCCCCCAAACGCTCCTTTTTCAAAACCTCTGGAAGCCACAGGTGAATGTGCCATGACCCTCTCCCTCTCTGGATGGCACCATCATTGAAGCTGGCATCATTGGAGTCTCTTGTTCTCTTGGTGTGCTACCTGGAAGATCCTTCTGTCCTGGACAAGAGGCATTGGAAGAGCATTTTATGTTTTAAAAACAGGCTGACATGCAGCAGCTACCATAACAGCTGAGATCACTTAATAAATGGTGCTAAACAGGAAAAAAACAAAACAAAACAATAGAAAGTGAGCCTGGAGCATCTCGTAGTGTCAGAAAGTAAGAAATGCTCAAAAAACAAAGAGATAAGATCATGTGTAAGTAACACAGGAGCCAACCTGAAAGAGTTCTCCCATGGCCAAAGCTGGAAGAGTTTGAGCAACAAAATGAGTAATGGTAATACTGGATTTTCATCTGATGAGTAAAATAAATATTTATGAGTCCATACTGATATAAATGATTGAATGAATAAACAAATAGGGAGAAGAGACACATCTTTACAAAAGAACTCCAAATAATTTATGTAGATATTACCTCCTCCAGGAGGTGGAGCTCAATTGCTCCCACCCCTGAGTGTGGGCGGTGCATTGACTTGTTTTCAAAGAGTTGTGTACGGGAAGAGGAGGAAAGTGTAACTTTACAGTGGAGAAATCTGACAAACACTGGTACAGCCAGGTGATCAATGTTAATATCAGTAGTCATAGGTCATGTTGATGACATGTGCTTGATATAATGTGATTAAACATGACACTTTACCTCCATGGGTCTTTTTCTCCCGAACCCATAACCACAGTCTATTTATGAGGAAAACAGACAAATTTAAATAGAAGGACATTTTATAATATACCTCAAAATATATCCTCAAAATTGCCAAGGTCACCAAAAACAAGTGAAATCTGAGAAACTATTAGAGTCAAGAGGTGCCTAAGGACGCATGACAACTAAATATCACTTGGTATCCTGAATGGGATCCTGGAACAAAAAAAGGACGCTAGTGGAGAAGCTAGAGAAATCTGAACAAAGTGTGTTTAGGTCATAGGAACACACCAATGTCCTTTAGTTGTGACAAATGTACTGTAGCAATGTATCTTGGCTGCACCCTAGCAAGGGGTCACAAAGTGCCTTCTTTAACCTTCGAATGCACAGATGGAGGAAGCCTGTTCTAGCTTTGGTCAGCTTTGAAGATTAGATTATTCACTCTTCATTCTGATTCATCCATTCAACGAAGGCCCCATGCTAGGGCATTAAAGTACATTGGTGAAGAAAATGAATGTGGTCTCTCCTTTCCAGGGTTGACAGGAAAGTGCATCCCTGCAATGAGCAGACATCTATTTCCATGTAATATTTACTTAGTGATCCTAGTTCTACCAGTTTTGTTGCCACAATGTATGTAGAAAATCTCTCTTGCTCAAAATAATTTTCAAATTTAGGAAAGCAATGAACATACCTCCTCTGGGCTTCCTCTAGGCAAAAATACCCTCTTTCCCTTCAATATTTCCTCAAAGATATATCTTTGGTTTCTCTTTAAATTCTGTTTGTCTTTCAGTCTTTCCATGTTCTTGGGGGATAGAGTTCAGAATAATTTTAACCACTACTGTTTACCTGTTCTTCTCACCGCATGACATACTTTCTTGGACTGTTTTTTTTTTTTTTTTATAAACCCCACAGTTGATATTATTACCTTATGTTACCAATGAGAAACTGATATAGTAGTCAAGGACATTAATTCATTCTGCAAATGTTTAAGGATCTACTTTGTATCGGGCCTTCCTCAAAGGGATGGAGATAAAATAGTGAATAAGGCAGATTATGCCCTCTCCTAAATGGAGTTTATTATTTGAGAGCAGGAGTTAACAAACTGTCACCCATGGGCCAAACTCAGCACCTGCCGCCTGTTTTTGTAAATAAAGTTCTATTGGAACACAGTCACACCCATTCGTTTACAATTGTCAGTGGCTCCTTTCCAACTTCTCAATAGCAGAGTTGAGAAGTTGTGACAGAGACCCATATGACCCACAACTCCAAAAATATTTACTAATTGGCCCCTTAACGAAAGTTTGCTCACCCATGTCCTAGAAGTTTGAGCATATGGGGAATGGCGGTTAGGCGTTGAAGGAGATAGAGAAAAGTGAACTACAGAGTTCTGTATGTCAGATGGTGATGGATGCAGTGCAGAACAATTAAGCAGTAACAGGAGACGGGGAGTGTGGCAGTGGGGTATGCAGGTGTATGTGGTGTTATTTAGGATGGAGAGGGGGACTCTCTGAAATGGTGACCTGGGAATAGACTGGGAACTGCAAAGACCCTGAGGCTTGGGAGAGTGTCCGTAAGTTTGAGAAGAGAATCTGAGGGAGGAGATGAGGTCCAAGAAGACCGGGGTCTGAGAGGAGGTGGTGCTGGGTCTGCATGGCTTGGGGCCATTTTACTTCACTGGCTTTCCTGCTGGCTGATGTGAGAAGTCATGAGAAGTTTGGGGAGTGAGGTGATCGAACCTTCAGTGCTGCTCCAGCGGCTGCACTGAGGACAGACGGAGGAAGGGCAAGGGCAGAAGCAGTCACTGGGCTACTACAGAGATGCAGGCAGCCGGTAGAGATGGCTCAGACTAGTCACCTAAGGAGTGAATGACGGAACAGAAACTGCAACCTCAGATCTGCCTCACTGCAGAGCCCATGCCTGTCAAGCATGGATTTTAATCACAGAACCTGATACTTTAAGACTGGGTCATGCAAGGCAGCACTTACCTGCAAAAGATCTAACTTCCTTGTGGATTTTCTCTGTCCTATCAGGAGAGTTGGGTAACTCTAAGAGATAAATCTGTAATAGTAAGATAATTGGAGGAGCTGGTTAAATCCTGTGGACGGTGTTCATTAGCTCTTTGAGTCAGAGCAGGGACACTCTTGAACATCTAATTAAAGCTGTGGAACACACTTTTCAGAAACAAAAAGGGGGTCATATATGTAAATACACAATATTTTGCATACATTTTTAGGGTGTTTACAACCTCTGCCCTTAGGATTTAAAACTGAGAACTGATTCTTTTGAGGTTATCTAAATCAGAGTTCTGACTTTAATATTGAGAATTTGAGCTTCAGCAAGAAAGGAAGATGGCACCTCACTGAGCAAGTGGGGAGATATTAGGCACATGTGAATTTTAGGACATACTTCAAATCACACAGAGCAAGTCACCTATACGAAGGAGTATCTGCACCTGGATGTATCTCCTAATGTATTGAAATAAAATGATATATTTACTAATTATTTTCAAAACAAATTTATTAATGTTAGAAAATATTGTAAAATTACTTTTGTATAAAAATCAAATGTCTCTGTTGAAATATTTTTTTTTGCAGTTTTATACCTTTATTTGACAATCAGCGATTAGTTCTCATCCACATTAACTGTCTGTAGATTTTTGAAAGTGGTGACAGGTACATAGGTAACCAGTGTGTAGAGCTTGTTTGGTGAATCTTCATCCTCGTTACGTTTTTTGGACAACCGCACACGGATATGGTATGGAACATTCCTAATTCCTTTGGCCCAGACAGCTTTGTTGAGCCTGGTGTCAATGCACACATCTGGAGTTCCCATCTCCTTCATGGCAAATTTCTGGATCTCTTTGAGTGCCCGAGGGGCACGCTTTTTTTTTTTTTTTTAAAGATTTTATTTATTTATTTGAGAGAGAGAGAATGAGAGACAGCACGAGAGGGAAGAGGGTCAGAGGGAGAAGCAGACTCCCTGCTAAGCAGGGAGCCCGATGTGGGACTCGATCCTGGGACTCCAGGATCATGACCTGAGCCGAAGGCAGTCACTTAACCAACTGAGCCACCCAGGCGCCCAGAAGGGCATGCTTCTTGAAACCCACTCCATGGATGCGCTTGTGAATGTTGATGGTGTATTCTCTGGTCACTACTTCGTTGATGGCAGAACGGCCCTTCTTCTTCTCGCCACCCTTCTTCGCGGGAGCCATTCTGCCGGGCCCTGGTTGGAAAGGAAGCTCTGTTGAAATATTTTTAAAATACTGAGTACAAGGTGATGTCCTAGCTCCTCTTGAGCATCAAATGCCTTTGTTACATTTCTGCTCCCATTCATATTTTGTAAACGAAGAAACTGAAATTGTTATATAGGGAATCTAGATTCCTCTCCATTCACTGACTTGGCTGGAAATGGCTAGTCAGGCCTAAATGATGAACTTTCTCCTTCTTCCTTTATTACCTGACTGGAGTTGCACAGCAATGTTTGGCTTTTCCACGAGCAGACCAAGCTAGTTTATTACCCTGGTGTATATCTGGATTAGAAAGATCCAGATTGTAATTCTGTTTTCTTAGACAATGCTTTTTATCTGACCCAATCCTAGCACTTCTTATCTAGAAGCAAAGACATTTTTCTGGTTGTTGGATTACTTTGATAAAGAGATTTGAGAAAGAGAAAACCAGAATAATAGGATATTTCCTGGAGGCACATATAGAAACCACCTCATTTCCATGTGTGTTAAGAACAAGGGAATATTTAGTTGTTGGTGGTGATGGTGCTATTCTGGGACATACCTAACCTATTTGACACTTGGAATGGATCATATTTTTTAACACCACCTTTTCTCTGTATGACAAAATTATTTTCAGCAATTATCATGAAGTAAAATTAGAGATCTATAGCTTTCTTCCATAAGGATGGTGCATAAAGCTTTACCTCTAAGTGGCCTTGTGTCCAGCCATTGGTTTAGAATGATATCTAAATTCTGCCTCAAGGATGTTGCCATATTTGCCTCTAGTGAATCCATTATACAAGGCAGTTCAGTTATCACTGGGAAGAATGGAACCAGGATTTTGTTAAACTTATAGACTAGACTATATGAACAGTTTTGTATGTGCTTGCTATTGATTATTTAGTTAATACATGTCTATAGGTGTGGCATAATATGATCTGAGATATGCTTTCCATTATCATTTGGTAATGAGGTTGTGGGGAAGTAGATGTCACCCACCTTAACCTTTTGTGATCACTATTTCTAATAACAAGAATCAGAGAGTGTTCTCAACCAAGTCAGTTCACAAACATTGGGTGTTCAGTTGTCATCCTTTGTTTCCATGTTTCCTTGGCTGCTTCTGTAAACCCAGTTCGTATATGTGTAGGCTTCTACTCTAAAATCTCTAAAATATTCCACTGAATCAATCATAAAATGACTTGCCTTTTATGAGAAAACAAGGTCAACCTTATAATTGCATCAGTTTGCCAGAAAGCAATAGTTAATGAAACCTTTATCAATAGGAATGAACTCCAAAGATATAAAAGACTTTCACTTCAACAAAAAATAGCGAGACCTTCAGCAATTTAGAAGTATTAAAAGAAGATAACAGAAAATATCTTGACTATAAGATTTGAAAATCAAGCTATGTAGTCTTCCTGTTCCTTTACTTTAGGATATATGAATACTTTTGTAAGAAATTGTTAGTTTGGTTGAATAGGTGAGCTGGGCAACATAAATATGTGGGAAACGCTAGGTGGCGCTGGAGGACTGTAATAATTGACCACAATTAAGCGTCCTTTACAAATCACACTATTGTCAGAATCAAGGAGAGTGTGAAATTTTACATTAAAAGTGATGCAAATGATCAGATTTCTTTCTCTTCTGACTATGGCTTCACTCACTAAAAATCTAAGTGCAGTTTTGTCATGAGTGAAATAGGGTTTTTACAGCGCTCACTGGGCAATAACTTTTCAAAACACATTACATTGGAGAAACAACATCCCTTTGTTTTGGATGCTCCCATTTTCAAATTTTGTTGATCCTCAAAGTCATGGTCTTAGTTTTGTTAACAGTCATAAACTCTTTGTAATCCATGTTAAAATGTACTCAATAGTCACCACACTAGTGACTGACAGTTTCCTTATTTTGTGCAGGATTTTTTTTCTTTTTTTCCTTTTTTTGAAATTTAAAGGGTCACTGTAAATCTTGGAGCATAGCAGAGCACATGATGAAAGGTAAAGGCTGTTCCTTCACCCTCCATTTGCTCACGTTGTAAAAAAGAATGAAAAATGTCTGCTGCATAAGCTGATCTTTTTCATGTTTCATCTTCACTCTTCAACAGGAAAATCTTCTTCATAATCTTTCCATTGAGGGTTACTTTTGTCAATTTTCATTGAAAAGTATGCACTTTCTAGTAGTCTGTTAAGATTTGGCAAAAGAGAAAATAGTATGCAGGGTTAATTATCATTACATTTCTATTCTCTTTTTGAAAATGTTAAAAGAAAGCATATACCTGCTGTTTCAACCAGCTGTTTGTCAAATTTCTCCAAATACCTGGAAAGATTCTATCAACTGATTCTAAAACCTTAAGACATGAGTTAGAAGTAGTAAACTTGAGACTTAAAATATAAAAATACATAGTCTAAAGATAGTATCTTAGTCAATTGGAAGATCATTTTTCACAAAATTAACATGTGTCTAATATAGATCATCTTCTTTTGAATTATAGAAACTAAAATTATAGAAACTGAAATCCAAAATCTCTACATTGCAGATTCACAATTTGCCATGAAACCAAAAAGCATTTAATGTTATATAAAATGAAAAAATACCTAATATACAGTTAAATTTAAGTTAACTTATACCGATTACGTATTTGTCAAAGGTAACTTTATTTTATTAAAGATTTTATTTATTTTAAAGAAAGAGAGCCTGAGTGGGGGGAAGGGCAGAGGGAGAGAGAGAATCTCAAGCAGGCTCCACGCTGAGTGTGGATCCTGACACAGGGCTCTATCTTACGACCCTGAGATCATGACCTGAGCTAAAATCAAGAGTTGGACGCTTAACCAACTGAGCCACCTGGGCACCCCATGTCAAAGATAATTTTAAAAATTAAAGCACTTTGGTTTTATATACAACTCCTCTGAATATCTCAACATAACCTCAAGTTTGGGGACAGATGATTTTAGGTTATAAGCTACAGACTGAAGGCACCCTGGGTGGGCACTTGGGATGCTAAGTGAACTACTTGGCTGCCATAACTAGTTGTTCTTATTTTTAGAGAACATACTTCTTTTATAGTATCATATAACTTTCCTTTCTTAGTTTTTTACTTAGAGCCCATGACCAAAAGTAAAAAGTAAAAGTACTTTTACCAAAAGTAAAATAGGATTGCCAGATTTTTGTTGTTAACCTTGAAAGATTTAATCATGTTGGGGTACCTGTTACTAAATTATTCACTCAGATCTCATGGTGCCCCAGTGACCTAAGAAGGTTAAGAAAGCTTTCAAAATTCATAAGAGTTTCATACTAAGGAAGTAAACAGAACATCTTTTTAAGTATATCTGAGGTGGGAGTTCATATAGGCTCAGAAGGCACTTGCTTAATAAACTATTCTTTGTTTTGTTCTCTTAAGATCAGAAATCTGAGAGGAAGGTCTTGTGGTAGAAAGAAGTCCACTCCAAAGAGGAAATGTATTCCCAGAGAATATTTTATCTTGATTTTCAGAAATTCAAACTTGTAAACCATTACTGCTAGAGTCAATGGTAGTCTGACAAAGCTTCGAGATGTAAAGGGGTCAAAACCAGAGTTGTTTAAGAATGGTGCACTTTGTTTTGCTGATACTTTAAGTTAAATGATCAAACCAATTGTGATACTAGTAGTTCATATGTTATTAAAGAAGAAAAGAATAAAGAACTACAATTTCATTGAAAAACAGATTCAGCTAAACCTCATCAATTCTAAGTGAAGAGGTTGGAAAACAGCTTTGAATTAGGTTTTGAGTGGTTTTATATTTTTATCTAGCAAACAAATACGAAGGAAACAGGACAGGGCTGGATTCTAGAGTCAGAGATTTAGGTTCCAACGTCCTGGCATTAACCTTGGGCAGGTAAACCTCTTTGAGACTATTTCACCATAGGGGTGCCTGCTCAGTTGGTTAAGCATCTGCCTTTGGCTCAAGTCATGATCCCAGGTTCCTGGGATTGAGTGCCAGTGTCCGGCTTCTTGCTCCATGGCGAGCCTGCTTCTCCCTCTTCCTTTGACTTTTGCCCCTGCCCCCCCCCACTCATGCTCTCTCTTGTTCTCTTTCATTCAAATAAATAAATAAAATCTTTTTAAAAAAGACTATTTCATCATAGTCTTATAAAACGTATACTACCCACATCCTATGGCTCTTGAGAGTATTAAAGAAGATACTGTATGATAAATGAAATAACTGTAGTGTAAAGTCATTTTCATTTATCCATTCATCCCTTCATCATTTATCCATTCTCGCATATTAATCTTTCGTTAAATGTCCTCATGTGTGGTGATATTTTGTTTCTCATCTGATTTTTCATTGGTCCTAAAAGTGTTATTTGATGGATAGAATAAATAGAAAACTAAAAATGCTAAGCTTGGTCTAAGATATTTTTTTAAAAAATGGAATGTATATAAAAGAATTTTTGAATCCAGTGTGATAATATGAGAAGTCATGATGCTGAGGTATAGATGATAAGCTTAAAATCTGCAGTAACTGTATATTAAAAAAAAAAGAGCACCAAAAGTTGAGATTAGGATCCTTTCTTGGTTACTTTCTGAGAGGAGAAAAGCCCTTGGGTTGGAGGAGGAATTTCCAGACAAGGATAATATTATAATTAAAATGACAGGTAAAAATAAATGTCCTCTTTTCAGGAAATGGTCAGTAAACCGTCTTAACTAAAGCAGAGGGCTATATAAGAAAATACTAAAAGATACATTTTGGGTAGGACCATTTCGTGAAGGTCCTTCAAGTTCAAAGTGAGGAGTAGAAATTTGACCTATAATTAAAATTATGATCAGACAGAAGAGCTAGAAAAAGGGGTAAAGAATGTCCTTAGATAAATATTTATTAGTTCATCATGTGTTTTCAAATACTATAGGTGCAGAATTATATAACTCACTGGGGGGCGGTTTGCAGATGTAAAAGTTGATATTGATTTTCTCCATTAAGATCTTCCAAATTAGTTAGAAAGAAGATATAA